GGGGGGATTGGAGAGGAGGGGGAAAGGAAGGGGAGAGAAAGGGGGGGAGATGATACACTCTGTTGTGAGATAGATGCCTCCCCTCGCGTGCTATAGTTTAGTTTAGTTTTAGTAGGAGTTTTACGGCTCTTGCAGCACAAGAAGGTCATATAAGTGCCGAAGATTAGAGGTGTTACAAGAGAGTAACAAACACAAAAAAGGAGGGGAGATAGAGACGATAGACTTTTATATAGGAAAGAATGAGCTAACCCAAGGCATTCAAAAATAAATCGGCTTTAGTTTTTTGTATCCTCGAGCAAACCACACCTGAGCACCCGCCAACCACCCACGTGCTACAGTTTGCAGTTTGTACTGTGACTGTGATGGTAAAGTCTTCCAGCAGTGCCGCCCGGCTGAGTAGACACCGACCGTTATCTGGCTAGGGCCGACCAGAGACCTATCTAGCCCCCACATCGCACCGCCAGCCGCGATAACACGCCTTCATCTGTCATCGTTCTAATCATCGCTGTCATTAGTCCTGGCCTGCCTTGGCGTTACGAGGAGGTAGATGTACCCATCAGTGTTGCTGGCTACAAACACAAAGAGGAAAACTATCGTTATGGGGTCAAGAAGTATTAGAAAGCTTGAAAATGTTTTAATAATTTTAAATTGTACATTGAAATAATCCAGACGTTTGGTCTCTGCTTGCCGTGCCCTTTTCTTATTGCGTAACATTGCCCCTCACCCCCCACCGCCACTCCAGAAAAACGACCAAAAATAACAAGACGAAAAGACTCACCATGGCTTTCAGAGAAAAAAAAAACACAACAACTGTGTGCAACCGTTACACACAGCCAGATATTTTGTTATGAACGTCTCATTCTGATGATTTTGTCTGAAGCATGTCCTGATTACTTTCACCTTGCGAGAGCCCGTAATCTAGGCAAATAAGACCTCAGACTAGATCTGATACACTGAAGACATTGCCAAAAAGAAGGTCCCCGGTAATGTCAGGATTATAAGCGTGTCGATACCACCAAAAGCAGAATTATGCCAGTTTATTGAAAACTGACCAAATTTAACTAGCTCACATCAACCAAAATCTATGCCGGTCAAGGACACAGGTTGCCAAACTACGACCCACTGAAACATAAGGCAATTTTTAAAAAGGTACTCCAATAGATCCACCCAACTTACTAAATCAGAAAAAGAGGAGGGGGTGGGGCGGTGTTCCTTGTTTCAGAACCTAATCTCACTGCTTATAGTCAATATCGAAAAGATAATATTATGATTTAACCTGCGTAAGTAAGATGTGCTCGATAAACGCCACACTCTCATCCAGTGTCCTTCACACGCCGGATACTCAACAAATGTTCATAAAAATAAAAACAAGCCAAGGATGTTATTAATAGAACATTCTAAGGTCCTCGGATTAAGCGAAGACATAACAGTAAGTTAAAATATTTTCTTGCGTCTGCTATCGATAGTGGGTGAGGAGACACACTCTCCGATTCAGACAGATGTACACACAGGCCGGTTCCTGTACCCAGCATAATCTGATGGAGTGTCAGGGTGTGGAGATACTGTGGATAACCGCTGTGTACACTGCCACTCACATGTGTCTCACAGGCACAGGTCAACACTCACTCACCCCC